AGGCAAAAATGGGACTGGAATTCCACCCAAGATTTGAGATTTCTCAAATTTCCACCCCCCAAAATACATGGGTTGGAGATGATTTTTGGAGGCTAAACTCAAAATTTGAGTTTCCACCCCAAGGGTTGGAGATGGTCTAACTTGACTGGTATTTGACCTCAAGTTCGGATTTTTTCAAATTTTAGCCTCTTAATTTTCTTAAGTTGAGAGGTAATTTGAACTAAAATTTGGGATATTTGGAATTTGGCCTCATTGTTGGAGATAGCCTTAGGAAACACAATTGTTGAATCAAACGTTCATTTACATTATTTCCATATAATTTGCATGGTTATAAGCATTGTTGCAATATCATTGTTGGATAAACAACTGAATTATGCTTGGTATAATTGACTGTTGTCAGCTTAACAAAAAGAAACATTAAGAACACTAGCCCCTTGCATGTGCCAATTGGTTTTCTTTTTTCTTTTTATTTTATTTTTAGAATTAAGAAAATATAATATGGGTAGTTATGTTCCATAAAAATAGAACCTATTATCTTATTTTGTTTTTAATTTTAATTTTGTTAATATAAAAAAATGAATTTATCATATTATCCTTATTTAATTAATAATTTCAATTCTTAATATTTGAATTAACCAAGGGCATTTTTTGGTATTTTGAATGTTTCACAATTCTCTGCCTTTTGCTTTATATATATAGATGAAATGGGGATTTCATCTTGGTTATAACATTTAAATGGCAGAAATGGACGGAAATATACCTGACGGCATGAAAGAAATTGATAGAAATTCATCACTTGTCCTTAAATTGCTATAATTATGAAACTACAAGGGCATAATTGACCAAATTGAAACTGTAGGGACTAAAAGTGAAAAATAGACAAACTACAGGGACAAAAAATGTCTTTTGGCCTGTGAACTATATATTAAAATTAGAAATTAGAAATTATATGATTTCGATCAAGAGTTCAAAACACAACATATCAAATGATTTACATATTAGATTGTCTCGCAATTCTCTTTGGAGATATACATCTGAACCAATGGCGGACCTATTAAGGAGCAAGGAGGTGCATATGCACCTACCCTCATTGGAAAAACCATTGTAGGTGCTGTATATTGCACCTCTGCTCAGCCTGGAAGGTGCACTCTAAGTGTTCGACGAAAAGCCTAAACGAAGTCAGTTTGTTGTTATGTTTGGTTTTTTGTTTTTTGTTTTATTTTATAAATCGTTGCCAAAATTGCATCTCAGTTAAAAAATTCCCGAGTACGCTTCTAAACTATGTCGTCTTCCGTACTGTCATGCCATAAAATAACTTGATAGAAAATTATATTCAGGATCAACTTGGAAGGAGAGGCATGCTTGAAGTGAACTTCAAGATAAAAAGACACCTTTAATTAAGAAACTATACTTTGGCAAATATATTACTGCTATCTAATAATTACCATCAATTAAATAGTGATCCACTGTGCTTATTATACACTAAACTGTAATTGCAAACAACTTTTGTAGCTTGGGCCATCTTTGTTCAATACATATGAAGGAAGGGTGTTTCCTAAGAACTTCCTAACACCCAAAATAAAATCACAGCCCATGTGCCTCAAATAAAAACTAGTACTAGGTGGGAAACTTGAGATGCCGAACATAAAGGGTTAATCTAGTGCAAAAGCACCTAACTTTGCCTTGTAATTCCAATTCAAGGAAATTCTATTCAAAAGTCTCAAATCTCAATCTTTGATTTTGACCCCTCTCTTTGGTATGCCAGTGTCAACAAAACCTATCATGGTCAAATCAATAAAAAATCAGCTCAAGTTGTGAGAATCAAATGTTTCTCATCTTATATACATGCTTATCCACAAATTCATACTTTTCTGCTTCTGACTTGAGAAATTTATGAATTAATAACACTGCAAACATATTTAGACTGAAACAAAGAAAATAGCATAAACTTGGATACAGTTTAACTAATGACTTTTTGATAATTTAATACCACAGAATTCAACAA